GTCAGATTCAGCACACACAAATGTCACTCAAACGCAGAGCTTAGGAGCGGCCTGCCAGGTTGGACTTCCTAACTTGCTGCATGGTCTCATTGCTGCTAGGTGGAGCTTGTTGGCAGGCAAGTCCTGGAGAGCCTCACACACACACCAACAAATGGGTTGGCAAGGCCAGGTGCATACCAAGGTTGCCAGGGTTAAGTCTGTGTACAGGTCTAAGTGCTAATGATGGTGATGGAATGTAAACAAAGGGCTCAGCTCTGCTGGCAGTCACACAGGGGATGTCCCATTGACTCCTAAAGCACTTTCAGGGCCTTCATTCTTAGGCACCCACAATTATTCCTGTCACCCACACCCACTTCTTCCTGACTCCTGTGCATTCTGCACAAGTACCTCCCCTGCTCGGTTTAGGATTGACATTCTCAGTTCCATTAATGTTTAAACGGGGATAGGGTGTGGGGCGCACCCACAGCCCATTTCCACCGCAGCCAGCTGCTGTTTCTGACAAACTTATTTACAAGCTGTGGACATTTTGAAGAGATTGGCAGGAGAGCACCCCCTACTGCTTTCTCTACAGCATTACTCATGCTGGGAAGAATGTCATATACCCAGGTAGATCTCACACTGCCCCTCCCCCCCACCTGCACCATCAGGCCCTCACATAGTGATTGGTTAGAAGAAGAGAAAAACATGCCTTGTAGAAAGTCGTTCCTGACCAAGTTCTCCTACCTGCTACTAGCAGAGAACGGGTGTCCTAATCCCTGACCAAGCCTTACATTCTGCTCACTGTTTGAACAAGGCAACCACCTGTCTCCCACTGTGACTCACCTGCAACCCATTTTTTTTCCTGCCCCCACTGAGTTGCTTCATTCCGGGGTTTAAATAGCTGTAAAAACAGAGGCAAGAAAATTATCAATACACATCTCTTCTAACCTCCAGCATCCTAACCTGGAGGGAACTTCATTTGTATATAACAAACTTAATACCTTATTCTACGTCTCATCAGCATGAATAGAAGTGAAACTGTGGACTGATCAGGCTACAAGAACAAAATTCTAGCTGGTTTTTAACTGATTACAATCACAAGATGATTATGTCTAGTGTTTCCTTCGTTAGAGGTCAATACCAGCAAGAACTGGACCAATGTTAACTGGTTTGGTCACTTCTCAGCTGATTGGCATACAGATATTGCAGAAGTCAAGAACAGTGTTGCCTAAATTCACGCTGCAGCTAGTCACATTGTATATAAAACTCTCCACTTCCCAAGTGCTTATCAGCAGGAAATCATCATTTCTTCTGGACTTCTCTCCTCATCTGCCCTCCAGAAGGCTAGACTAACCAAAACTGTTATAATGAAACAATTCTCAGCCAGGCTGAGTTCCAGATACCACATATGCCAACTTCATGTTCTGGTGAACATCATGTTTCATCCCTTGAGCGAGACATTGCCCAAGACTCCAAGCACTGGCCAGTGTTGCTCAATAAATATGGGGGGAGGAAGAGCTCAATGGTTTGAGCATTGGCCTGTTAAACTCAGAATTGTGAGTTCAATCTGGCATCTGGGGCAAAATCAATACTTGGTCCTGCTAGTGAAGGCAGGGGGCTGGACTCTATGACCTTTCGGGGTCCCTTCTAGTTCTAGGAGTGTGTTGTTTTTTGTTTTTTTTTTTCTTCTCTCTCTCTCTTTATTTATTTATTTATTTATATTTTTAATTACAGCCTGACAGTTTCCTCCACAATATTTACTTATTGAGTCCAATTCATCCCTCATGAAACTTCACTGACTCCAAAGGCGTTCTGCCAGGAATGAATCTGGCCCACTATCGTTTAGGCTGTATTTAAAAAACAAATACGCGTTTGGAAATGCCTGCTCCATGCAGAACATAAGAAACCTGGTAGAATGGGGATGATGCATCAGTGGCTGACATTTCTAGGGACACTTGTGATGGAAGCCCACAGCAGAGCCCCAGCTAACTCCCACTGAGCTCCCTAAGACACTGAGTTGTGTATAACGCAACATAATACTGCACAGCACATACCAACACCCTGCCAGAACACAGTTTTCTGCAGATATTTTCTTATTCTTATGATGTAAATCAAGGTGATCTTTCACATTTCCAGTCTCATCCAGCACATCTAGGAATATTCACAACCGATTCCAATGAGTGAAGCAATGAAAAGGACAGATCTCTTCCTTCCCAGTTTCAGGCTAACATACAGTGGATTGTTGCATGCCCTTTAAAATCCTGAATATTAAACTTAAAGTCCCTTGAACTTCCCCAACTATTAATTTTAAGGGTGGATAATCTGATGGGAAAGTGAAAACCAAGATTACTGACAAGTTGTGTGGCACAAAAGAATTTAACATCCCACTGGCTACACTAAGATTTTCTTTCGATAAAGACTGGTTCTTATTGATGGTGAATGAGGCACGCACGAGAGCAGGCATGAGCTCCTTGGTGAGCTGGCTCTGTCAATCAAAATAAGGGGAGACTCTAAGCTCAGCGCTGTCAGCCATATTTATGGCAAATCAAACACACTGCATGAATTTCTCATGCACCCCCCATTATCCGCTCAGTCTCCAATTTCTTTCCACACTCTGCCTCTTAAACTCGCTACAGAACATAACATACACAGAAGTGCTGTCTGTTTTCAGCTGCAGTTACCTCTTCCTTCCCCAATAGCCACATGGGGATAGATATCTAAGGTCACTTAACTTCAGTCTCGGGACTTGATAACAGTTTGATCTACTCACTCTAGCCTTTTGAACCGCTCAAAGCCAGCTGCCACATACGGGCATCCATTCTGCAGTTCCTCCAGCTCAGTGACCCGGTGGCCCTGCCTGGGGGTGTAGATGTTCCTCACAGCCACAGAGGCATGGATGGTGCTGGTCACCTCATTCAGAAACGCTTCAAAGGTCTGGAACTGGCGCTGGTTCACCACAAACTTCCTTCCATGGAAGAAGGAGTCCCCATTGCGATATACCATCACGTTCTTGGCCACAGGGGCCAGAGCTATTGTGCTAGAGCTCATTCCTCTTGAGCCACGTCCACCCCACTGATCAGAGAGAGAGAGACAAGCCGATCAGCGCAGGGCAAAGGCTGGAAGAGGAAAACCCCAGCGACCCTTGTGCTAAGCACAAGCCCTTGCAGTCTGGCTGCCTTTGTGCTCCCTCTCCCTTCTCAGAGCTGTGTTCTGAAAGAGACTCTCGCCGTTTCCATGGCTGCAGGCCCAGCAAGAGGAGGGAGTTTTGTGGGCCGGCCTGGAGGCTGAGTCACTCAAACCGAGAACCAAACAGTTCCTCAGTACCTCTCCTCTGCTACACACAAACAGCACCAAAAGCTCCCTCACAGCCCAGCACAGCTCCAAAATCAGGAGACTGGATGGCTCAGGAGAGCAGACAGGACTGATTACCTATACAGTGGCGATTCAAATCCAGCCCAGAGTGGAGGTGTCTGAAAGTTGTCACTCTCTGATAACTGCTCAGTGGCTTGTGTGATATGAGTTTGGTAGGTGCCAATGCAGTGCCTAGTTGACAAGTATCTGCATCACAAAGCCAAACCCCCCCCCCCCCCCCCCCATCTGCATTAATTAGCTCCTTAGCTACCATCATCAAAATGGACTATGAGACTGAACTAACTTGCTGGCCTACAGGAGAGGAAGGATAGTCCAGTGGTTAGGGTATTAGCCCACGACCAGGGAGACCCAGGTTCAATTCCCTGCTCTGCCACAGGCTTCCTGTAGTAAGGGGGGCAGAAAAGTACATGCAGTAGAAAGATAGTAGCAGGACTTGGGGGGTAGCGGGGGAGCTTGAACTACTGCAGACCAGCTGTCAGAGGAATTCAAGCCAAACACCACTCACTTGCATGACAGCCACTCAAAAAACATTTCACCCCAAAGAAAGCTATACTTACTGCTGTCTTCTCCCTCTCTATTCCACTGCTGAGAGCCTAGATTAAAGACACCAGCCTGATTCCCAAAGTTACTGATTTCCCCATCTCTGCAGAGGGGGTGAAGTGATGATACCAGCCTGCGACAGCTCCTCTCTCCTGCTCTTGAACAGAGGGCCAAACCTTCATCCTGATCAAGTTAGTAGCTCAGAACCAGAATCCAGCCCACTGAGTTTACATTGCCTGGACCCATCAAATTCTGAAGTGCCCCTCCATATGTTTAGAGGGCTAGTCTGTACTAAATGGAGTCAAGTCAGTTGGCCAGGAAGACATATGCATTAAAGGATGCACCCAAGAGCTTTATTTACATTGTGAACTGGTTACACCTGGAGAGCTTTCCTTCAGCATGTACTCTGTCACCTGAAGCAATAGCCTCTGCCCATCCCTAGCATTTGACACTACAACGGAGGTTAGGCCTGCTTTGCTTTTCACTGGATAGCGTCTGTGCTAGGTGGTGGGATCAAGACGTCTGGCCCAGCCAATGGCAGAGACAAATCTGGGGAGAGACAATATTTTATTCAGAAACAAAAATGAGGAACAAATGAGTGAGTATGTTCAGGAACTGACATAGGTTTTCACTGTACATTAAATAGGTGTATGATTGCACATAGAAAGAGACAGAATGCAGAGCATCTGCACTCACAAAGTATTATGGGTCTGGGATAGGGATCAACCGTGCCATGGGGAAAAATCCCCTTTCTGATGTTCATGGGTTGCCCATTAAAACAAAAAAGAGTCAACAAAGCCCACTGGGAAAAGCACCTGGTTAGCTAATACATTCCGTACCCACAGGGCCAAACCTTGTGGTTCTCGCTCAGCCGGCGTTCTGCCAGAGTGAAGTCTGCCAGGTTTGGCCATAGAGTATTTTGGGATCTCCAAGTTTTGGGAACAGAGTCGTGGGATGTGGGAGACAGACTCTTTCCAAATACATGGCTCAGCAAGCAGACAACAAAAAGCCATTCCTGCTCCGTGGAGGGGAGCCCATTCCTGGTGTTCAAAGCGCCAGGCTGCTTCATTGCTGCTCGGTTCAACCACAAATTAGCAACTAATCTTTTAAAGAAAAGTACATTAAAAAAAAATTAGTCTGGCTGCGGTTTCCCTCTCAGGCTCAGTCAGCAGAAATGGGGTTCTTCTGGGTAATAACCCCTTCAGTACATAGAACGTCCTCCTTAGCATGGGGCAGATACTGAACATGTGTTTTCACCAAGAGTTTTCAAGTTTAAAAATAAACCTCTTCATTGTAACTAACTCTTATTCTGACGAATGTGACAAAGTCCCAGTGGAAGTCCCAAGTTAACCATGAGGAACGTCTATGCCACAGTGGAGCTAGTGCTTTCCCAGGCAGCTGCAGTTAATGCTGCTCACGCGACGATTCCCCTCCTGCAGTGGATGGGACACAGTCCAGCTAGTCCCAGAGAAAGCTGCTCCTCCACAACAAGGTGAGCACACTCTGCATCCCTCTGAAACAGTTTCCTATCGCTCAGGAGTCCCCAGCCTTTGCTTCAGGATCAAATACTACAAGACAAAAAGGAAATCGAATGAGGATCTTGCTTAAATCCTGCTAGGCTTGAAACCAGAGGAGCATCTGTCTCTGCAGGTTACCCAGCTACCACTGGAGTCCTCATATGTGGGGAGAAATCTTAAACATTGAAAGGAATGCAACTGAGGCTTGTAGGGCTAGATTTAGGCGTCTTCCTCCCTCTGCTGGCTACTTGCTCATGGCCAGCTCATAGCGCTCTAATATGCAAAGGATCTGTCCTTTGGATTTTGCCTATTCACAAGAGCAGAGGGACGTTGCGAAGTATACACACAGCAATAGTCACAGGCAACAAAGCACTTTATAAACTTAATTAAACCGCGCATGCATGCACACCCATTTGGGCGTGCCCACCCGGCCCGTGTGTGCGCGCGCACGCACACAATAGGTGAATATCCTAATCCCCATTTTATAGACACAGAACCTGAGGCACAAATTGCAAGGTCCCACAGCAAGTCAGCAACAAAAGTCAGGAATACCTTACCCTTGGTCCTAGGTTTAGCAACTAGAAATCTCTCCCCCTTTGTGCCTACAGTTGAAAATAAGCCCCAACATGCCAGGTTTACCGGTGTTGGGTTGCCTAGCAGAGTAACTGGCATTTTAGACAACATCCTCCACATTTAATTGTTTTTAGAGTAGGTTATGGTGTAAGATTGTCAACCCTCAGTGTCCCTCAGCAGCAGGAACTCTTACTAAGAAACACACAGATGACTGCATTACTAATCCCATTCACTGTTGCAGGGAAAACACAGAATTCTGTACGCACATCTTGGTAGGAAAGTGAGGGAAACAGAGGTAGAGGTCTAGCGGTTGAAGCAAGGGACTTCCAGGAGAGTCAGTATTCCTGCATTCTACCCCCCGCTCTGCCACTGACTTAACTGTCTGACCTCAGGCAAGTCTCCAAACCTCACCATGCCTCGGTTCCCTATTCAGAAAATGGATGTGATAACATTGACCCATATCTGTAAAGCACTTTGAGACCTTGAGATGGAAGGTACAATAGAAGCATTATTCTATCCTTATTTCTTTACCAACTGATCATTGCTAATTCACACTCATGCCTGGAGATTAGCACTGAAGGCAGGATTAGCATGCAAGTGAGAGAACACAACAATAAAGAAATAACAGACCCTACCTCACAAAACGTATTTGGATAAACTAGATGAACAAGTGTGGTTTAGAATATGGACTGCAGTACATTCTAGAAGAGCAGTGAAGTCTTTGTAACACACCTATAGCTAACCTCAGCCATATCTTCATCTAATTAGATTATGTTTACACATGGAGAGTGCTGTACAAGTGTTAAGCATTATCATCTCCTCCAAAAAAGAGAAATGTACCTCCATCATCTGATTAAACTCTTATGTAACTGAATGTTCACCCTGGAAATCCAATCCCCACCACAGTGATTAACTGCAGATTCCTCTTGCAAATGTTTGTCTGGACAAGCCAACCTTTGAACACAGCAAGAGGCAAGGACAGGCTCTTACATTCTTACGGCTCACGATAGCTTGTTGCAGCCACAGCAACTCCATGGCCAAGTGATTTCGATAACACTGGAGGTCGGGAAGAGTTTGAGGCAGCTCCTGTTTTATGCTCTTGAATGGAAGCTCTGCACAGAAATGGAAAACAGAGATTAATTCTATTTAAGGGGTTATTTGGTTTTATAGCCTAGCCATGTTCCCTTTAGATCCTCTTGTGTTCAGAGGCCAGACTGGGGCAGGAGGTACCCTTCCCAAATTCCACCCACAATCCCAGGGGAACTGAATGTTTTGGTAGAACAAATCAGCAGTGAAACAGTTAACCACCTTAACATACAAACTGCTGTCGACAGATTTCAAAGTCAACAATCCATTGCAACAAAGAGAGGCAGGTCACCCCATTTGGAACCAGAATTCTACTTTGTACCATTCTCGCTTCTCATATGGCCCTCATCACTGTAGTATCCAAGAACACATGACTGTTCACCCAAGCCAATGCACACAGACTCGGAGCAAGCTATTTAGAAAGTTAACCTCGAGTGCATCTTTCATAAGATGTGGGGAATGCAATCAATCACCTTCCTTTGTTTGCAGAGACATACTATACAGAAGCTAGTGTGTTAATATTCCTGTGTGGTTACTGCTGCCAAAGCTGGGACAATCCATCTGTATTATTCACTTTCTGGCTCCATGAGAGGCTGTTTATTTTCTTGTGTCTGGTACATCAAGAAAGAGACTAACCTACTTCCAACTGTATCAAAACAAACACATGCATGCATGTCCACAAACAGGATACAAATCAAACACTTTTCTGGGTACAATCCCTACACTCTTGAACAAAATCCATCCTGATGGACTATCATAGTTTTCTAGGGCTACAGCCTACAGTCTTTCCAAGACAGTGTTCCCTAGACTCTGCTCTATACTTGATCATGGTGCCTATGTAGAGAGGTTAGAACATTGAGATATTGCCTGCTTTGAGGGTCTTCAGTTAGTCTCTAGGACCTACAAAGAAAGGAGAGCTACATAAAGCTTGTTCCTAACTTAAGCAGCCCAAGTAAGACTATGAGCTTGAAGGGTATGCATAAAGCTGCTTGGAATAGAAAAATCTAGCTTGCTTGTGATCAAAGGATTTGCAGAAAAATCTTTGATCTCAAATCCAGCAGGGCTCTCCCCCTTACCCTATGCTAATAGAAGAGGTGACACGGAATTTATTTAGGCAAACAAAGGTTTGGATAAGAGGGTGTATTTTCCCCTGCAATTGATGCTCACTGGGGGGCAGAACCTACATTTGGAAAATGGGAGGAATTGGATAAGAAGGGTTTCCAGGTGAGAAACCTGGAACCCTGCCCCAAACAGGGGTTGATCAAGGTTTCTGAGCTGGTGTGGAACCAAGTTTAGTTTGTCCTTGCAGTTAAATAACGTGTATCTGCAATGGATAATTTCCTAGTGTAGACAAGACCTTGGAGAGGAGATATGATTTAAACAGGAAACTCATGCGAGGGGCCCCAGACTCCATTCTATGCTATCTCTTGGATAAGGTTCATTGCTCTAGTCTCTCTATTATATTCCTGAGGCTTTTGTCTCCCCAACAATCTAGCTCAGGTGGGTGAGTATGTTGCCAGGTTACACATGCCATGCTGGAAGGGTTCAGAGGTGCTGGCTATAATGTTTATTCCTATTCCTGTTTCTTACCCTGGCTGGCTACAGTAGACCCTGTCTCCAGAACAGTGTTGCTCCATACAGATGATGCGTTGCTATTGTTCTTCCATTCTGTATTCTCCCCTGACAAGCTGCAGTCCTGTCCAGTGGATTTATCTACATCACACACTAAATTTTGCTTCGCTCTGTTGCTTTCACCTCTTGAGACCATCTCATCATCTTGAAGCTGGGCTGTAGGTTTCATGTAACTCCTACAGTCACAATCCTTTTCTGGTTCTAGTGTCTCAAGAGGACAATGCTTTTGCTGCCCTTTATCTGTGTTGTTATGGTCTTTGGATCCAGACTCTTGATCAATTAATCGCTTTACTTTCATCTGCTTCTGGAGAAACAATGTTTGAGAAGTTAAACATGGAGGAGAGTTAACGAATAGAGGGAAGTAATAAAAAAAAATCCAACAAGGTTAGGCTCTTCCTGGCCACGATGATCTCGCTTAGTAGATGTTTGTAACCAGGTCTGATAACTTTCCTCACTACTTTCCAGAAATTCACTCTGCCCACAAAAGAGTTTTAAATGATCATGGTTTGGGAAATGGTTAACAGTTTATATCCAAGCTACATTTTTTTTTTTTATAAAGCTTGTTAATGACCCATGTTCAAACACTACAAGAAAGCAAGTCTCAAATAGTGCCTGGTTGTATTATGGACAGATGGGGTCGGTCATGGAGAAGAGACAGTTGGTTATTTCCAGGCTTCAGCACCATGATTTGAGTGGTTAACACATGGCTAGGTCAGTCTATAGCGTGAGATGGAAGCTTTAATTGTGTCAGAAGACAACCAGGTTTCCCCAATATGGCTGTATTTATAGCCTTTAGCCAGACCATAGTTTGAATCCAAGCACAAATTGTGATGATAAAGTCCAGAAACTACCTGCTGCATGCAGAAGTGTTGAATACTGTTTTAGCTACACCATTTTTTGTAAGAAATCCCTATTCACAGAGAACATGCCAATCATATCAGCAATGCCAGCCTTTGCCAGGAGTGACTGCGTACCATGAACTGAATGGACCATACCTTTTGAGGAAAGACAGGAGTTGGTATGAAGCGTCCTTTCCACTGCAACTGACCCAAATCCCCTTCAATCTCCTTTACCGTGTTCTCATAGTCCTCCTGTAAGCTTTGGAACCTCTTCCTCACAAGATAACCCCTGACATAGGCCTACAAAGGATAAGACAGAGATCCCTAAATAGTCAGAGATGGTTGACCACGTTTCCCATTACAGAGAAGATCTGCAGATGCTTCAGAGGGAATGAACAGAACAGGGCAATTTTGAGTGATACATCCCCTGTCGTTCACTCCCAGCTTCTGGCATTAGAGGGAGGGCTACCCAGAGCATCAGGTTGTGTCCCTGACCATCTTGGCTAATAGCCATTGATGGGCCTATTCTCCATTAACTCATCTAATTCTTTTTTGATCCCACTTATACTTTTGGCCTTCACACCATCCCACAGCAATGAGTTCCACAGGTTGACTGTGTGTTGTGTGAAGAAATACTTCCTTATGTTTGTTTTAAACCTGCTGCCTATTAATTTAATTGAGTGACCCCCTAGTTCTTGTGTTATGACACAGGTAAATAACACCTCCCTGTTCACTTTCTCCACACCATTCGTGATTTTATAAACCTCTATCATATCCTCCCCTCTACTCAGCTCTTTTCAAAGCTGAACAGTCCTAATCTTTTTAATCTCTCCTTGTACGGAAGCTGTTCCAATCATTCTTGTTGCCCTTCTCTGTGCCTCTTCCAATTCTGATATATCTTTTTTGAGATGAGGTGACCAGCACGACGTGCAACATTCAAGGTGTGGGCATACCAATGGTTTATGTAGTGGCATTATGATATTTTCTGTTTTATCTATCCCTTTCCTAATGGTTCCTAACATTACTATTACTTCACAGCACCTTAGATTATTAAAACGGAAACAATCATTAATAAAATCTTAGGGCCCAATACTGCAAACGCTATAAAGCACGATGCTAACTACCTGGTAGTCCCACTTAAGTCAAATAGACTACTCATGGCCATGAACATTATATCTGGTAGTGAATATTTGCAGGATCAGGCCCTAACTTATTGTTACTGCTTAGGCAACTTGTTGGTTTATTTTTTGTATTTCTTCTGGCTAAGACAGGGAAAAGATCCCATCAATTTCACTATTTCTCTAGTCAGTGTCACTTTCTAGATGTTTAATCTGAAAAAACAGGTTTCAAACACTACAGGGAGATGTTTGTGTGTGTTTTAAAACTGTTTCCACTGGATTTTGTTTTCTACTAATTTTCCGTTTTGTAAAACTTATTTGTACAAAGCCCAAATTCTCTCACTTGGTCTTTTTAAAGTTTCTTAGAATAGAAGAAAGAACACAGTTCCAAGTGTGCTTTTCAAGTCACTTCCTCAGAGGGTAAAATTCCAAGTTTTGGGAAACCTCTTTCATTGAGGAGATCCATTTCTCTCCTACAGGCCTATAGGGCTGTTGCCCCAGACCAGTGGTTAAGCTTCTTTTAGACAACACTAAAAAGGCATCCCCTCTTTAAGGAACATGTGACTTACTCATACCATATTAGGGCTTGTCTACAATGTCTCATACCATGGCGCTACTAAGGGCTACTGTGTTTTAAATTCACACCCCACCTTAATCCAAATTAACTTTCAAATGCAAACAAACTCTGAATACAGATAAAAATGCACCCACTTTGAAGTCAATGGGAATTTTGCCACTGACATCAGTGCTGCAGGATCAAGGCCCCTAATGTTATTTGTATATTGTGCCTGTTTCTATGAAACACCCAGGAAAAAACTAAAGACAGGAGCACCAAGGAGCTATGACACCCTCAGTGAAACCAGAGCAGAGGGGCAAACTCAGCCCTGGAGTAAGAGAACAGCCCAACACCGCCTTCAGTGGTGCTGCACCAGTTTACGATAGGGAGGTGTTTGACCCAGAGTCTCCAGACTAAGCATAAGCGCAAGAAACAGCAGGAGCTGGGGCAGCAGAAAGAGATTAAGAAAACTTTGCCTCTGATCTCCCCAAGATGTGCCAACACCCGGATGTACCACCCTTCAGCTATACAGCCCCCCCGACCTGCCCCAGATGCATCACCCCACCCTTCAGCTATACAGCCCCCCCGACGCATCACCCCACTCCCCAGATATACATCTCCCCCCTCCCCAGATGCATCACCCCACTCCTCAGATATATATAGCCCCAGCTGCCCCCCCCCCAGATATACAGCCCCCCCCGGACCTGCCCCACCTTCTCCCCAATACCTGCCCCCTCCGCGCGCCTCACCTGCAGCCTCGTCACCCCTTTCACCAGCCGTTGCTGCTCCGCCGCCATCTCCACCCGAACCGCCGCTGGCGCCGCCTGGTAACCGGGCTCCGACCGATGACGTCATCGAGCGGCGACAGCAGGCAGGGGATGGGCTCTTCCGCCTCCTTCCCTCCCGCCCCCCGCCCTGCCGCGTCCCCTCCGAGCCTGCGGGAGTTTCTGCCCTCTTGCGGTCACGTGCGGGGCGGAGACCCATTACTGTCGGTCCCACCTAAATCCAGCCCACCCGGGGCTGGCCGTAGACAGCAGGCAAAGGGCAGTGAGTGGCCCCCCTGGCCAAGTGCCACACAGGCTGGGGGGTCCCCCCGCTGAACCCCTAGCCACTGGAAGGTAGTGACCCTCTGGAGGGGCAAAAGGGGGCCTAAGCTCCCCTCTTTGCCCCCAACCAGCTGGGTGATGTAACAGCAGAGCCCCATTCCTGCTGGCCGGATGGAGGGGTGGCCGGGCCAAATGCAAGCGAGTGGCATTGTGACCAAGCACAGGGCGTCACTTTGCCTCTCAGATTTAGGGTAGCTGGGCCGGTAACCTGGCTCTAGGGTGACCAGACAGCAAGTGTGAAAAATTGGGACAGAGGGGGGGGGGGGGGAAGCGACACCTATGTAAGACAAAGCCCCAAATATCAAGACTGTGCCTATAAAATCAAGACATCTGGTCACCCTACCTTGCCCCCTCCTTAGTGAAATTCTGGATGCACTGCTGCCTGGAAACAACTGCTTTCATAGGGAAACTTTGCCTCTGTCTGTGGTAGAGTATCTCCCACTGCTTTACCCACATGCCTCCTTGGCCCCATTTTACAGATGGGCTAACTGAGGCAGAGAGCAGTTAATAGACAAGATTTGCAAAACAGTAGCAAGCCTCACTATTTAGGAGCCTAACCCAAGACATTGTAAAGGAGCTGGAACACGCTCAGCATTTTTTGAAAATCAGGCCCCATGCAGGGGTCTCACACATTGGACACCCAATACTATTAGTCACTTCTGAAAATCACAAGCTAGGAAAGATGCAGGCATTAAACCCAGGAGGCCTGGCTACCCCCTCCTTTGTTTTAAACTTCAGTCTATTTTTCTTTCTTTACACATTAATTAAAGTGGCAGTCAAAACAGCAAAATACCACAATTAGTTTATTTACCTTACAATTTCATTATTTTGTGCTACATTCTACTACTAGAAAATGTTCTGACATGTAAACATACACTCATATATTCACCTTCGGTGTCAAATTGAAGCAGCTTAGATGTTTAAGACTGGATGGGTGTGTAAGTGTAGAAATATTAGTTGTTTAAACTCCTCTCTTCTTACTTTTGATGTCTGGTCTAGCAAAGTCATCATGTCTATCCTTTTTGGAATGGAAATAGTACCCAGCCCACATAGAAAGCATTTCCACAAAAAGCCCGGGGTATTTTGCAAGAGGGGTAGTTATAGGCCTCACTATAAAAAAATTTATCATTGCAAAAATTCAACCATTAAAAAATGTTGGAGGAAAAGGATCAGACAGCAGCAGCGGCGAATGACTTGTTACACTATTAGCAGACATTTTTGTGCTAGCCCCAAAAACTCTGTTTCATTTCAAGTGATCACACTTCTCCTGGTGGTTTCAGTTCTGGGCTGGCAGCTGCACTGTAGAACAGGCGGAAGCTAAACCAACAAAAGCCTTTACTGAGTTTTTCTTGGTTGCTGCTTCTGTGTTTACATTTCAGTTAGTTTCACGCTGGTGACAACTGCCAGATCAACAGGGCTGGAGCCAGAGATATTTTAAATGCATCTGCAGCTCCTGCACAGCTAGCAGCTGTATTCTTCCACTGTTTCACAAACCTGCCTTGGAAAGACGAGGTCTGGGAGCGAGGAAAGAGGGGAGTTCAATCTTCATGGCCTTTCAGGCCTTGATTATTCTGTTGGGAGGACTGTCAACAAGGAAGCCAGTGACAGCAGCAGGTTTTGTGATGTTCCTAGTGGACAAACAGCTACCAGACTGAAACCCACCAAACTCATTTCACTCACAGCCCCTTGAACGGTCCAAACAATCAGAGTGGAACCAACAGCCTGAAAATGAAGTGTTCTATCTCCTATTAACAATACTTTGTTTGCTATGGCACCTTTTATCCAGGAATCTCTAAGAGCTTTATACAAGGTTGCTCAAGTATCATTAACCCCATTTTTAAAAAGAAGGGGGGGGGGAACTCAGGCACAGAGAGGTGCAGTGACTTGGCCAAGGTCACATGGTGAGCTGGGAACAGATCAGGAGAGAGAGAGAAGCCAGCACTGCTGATTCCCAGTCTTTCCTCTACGATTTTCTGGTTTACTTTTCAAGTTACCTTGACAGTGTTTGACCTTTTCGGATGCTCTAAAAATCCTGGATTTTGATACAAAATTATTAGACAACATGCCCCTCCCCCAGCCCACCCCAAACCCCCATCTCTTAGGGGTGTCCTTCCTTTTCTACTCCTACATTTCTGTACAGTTCAGAGGTGGCCACCCCATCTCTTAGGGGTGTCCTTCCTTTTCTACTCCTACATTTCTGTACAGTTCAGAGGTGGCCATGACAGAGATTCAAACTGGTGCAGCTTTCCCTTGGCTCCAGAATCCTCAATGCTGCCCTCTGCCTATGGAGGGTCCAGGCAGCCTTTTCAGCTAGGCAGTGGCAGCGTCCTCCAGGTCTGGATTCTCCGCTAGATGCAGCTTTTGGCTGAGTTTTATGTTAAGGAAGAAGAAGAATCGATCAAGCTGCAGCCTCATCACTGACAAGATCCCTGGGGGAGCAGCTGGAGTTCCTAACACAAACCTTCCAGCTGAGCCAATCTCTGTACCCGGTAGCAACGGCACCAGAACCGGGAGAACCCAGGGGCCATGGCCCCTCCACTTTTTAACATGGGCATGGTTTGGGGAGGCCAGGGGCAGTGTTGCCCCCCTAAACTGCATGCCTTGGGCAGGCGCGGAGTGGCGCTGGCAGGGGCTGGGCCGTTCCGTGCCTGCCTAAGGTTTGCCTCTCAGAGGGGCAACGCCGCCCTCTGCCACCCATCCATGTTAAAAAGTGGTGGGCATGGCTCCATAGCCCCTCCGGTTCCAGCACCAGCACCAGTGCCCCCACCCCCACTTGTGCGGCACAGGAACGTAGGATTTGGCAGTGGTTTGTACCATGCAGTATCCCGCCTCATCAGACCAATGATCCATAGAATATAGCATCTCCCTGCCCCAATAGGACAGACCAATGGTCCAATAAAAAGTCTGGTCTCCTCCCTCCAGCCATAGTCTGTGCATGGCAGAGATGGGGGAAGGGTTCCTTCCTGACCTCTACGGAGAGCGCTGACACCCTGAAGCAGGAGATTACACTCCCTCTTGTCCTGCCCAGCCAGTGACGCAGGATTTCCCATACTGGATCAGACCACCGAGCCACCCCAGCTGGGATTCTGTCTCCAAGAGTGGCCAGTACCACATGCCAATTCAAACTGGTCCCACAGTATCCAGCTCCTTGATAGACCCCGGCGCATTACTCACTCCATTGGTGGCACCTGGTTACCCTTAGAAGTGGATTCCAGCCAGCATCTATCACCGCTCCGCCTCAGTGCATTAGGGCTCCCTCTAACCTTTTGCCCACTGATGGGCAAAGCACGGCTTGTGCCGCTCAGAGATGTTACTCACACCTCCAGATCCCACCCTCAGGCCCCTCCTTCCAACCCAACCCTCCCTCTAAAATGGTGTCCTACAGAGGTCTCCATGACAGGCTTGCCTGGAAACCTTTGGCACCAGCAGAGTCCTGGCGTCTTTGAAACCCCTGGCAATTCCCAAGGAGCCTCCAAGCTCTACAGGGCTCCCTGCCTAGAGACTCTGGCAGAAGATGACCAGCATCTATTAATGGCACCTCAGATCCAATGCCATGGTCTGGGGAGATATTGGAGAGTGGTGATCAAGTGTCTCAAAGCGGATTCCCTCTTCCCTTCCCTGCCTGAGGGGTCACCCAGCTGTGCACATACAAAACAGGCCCCCTGAAGAATCCCCTGGCCCCCATAGGCCCCGGCAGAAGGATACATGGAGTTGCTGAGCTCTTCCAACTGAAAAGGGAAACAGAACCACCATTAGAATAAGCACAAGCAGCTATGACAATAAAGGGAACAGGGCCCCACTTTGCCTTTGAAGATCATTAGGGGGCATTATCTGTATTGTGGTAGCCCCCAGATGGGGTCAGGGCCCTGTTGCGCTAGTCACTAAGAGCAGCACAGTCTAAGTGCGAGGCTTGGAGGGAGCAGGGATGTGTTCGAGGGACGGCTCAGGGATCAGCCCATGAGGAGAGAACTCTCTGGTACTCACATTAGTCAGCAGCTGATCTAGGTTACTATCCGCCACCGTCTTCTTCTGGTCCTCAGCGAGCTCCTCCACGTAGACATCCAGGCTGAAGTGCAGGCGCGCCAGCTTCTCCTGCATTTCCCGGACGTGCTCCAGCTGCTCGAAGGAGCACTCCTTCCCTGTGCCGCCCAGGAGAGGGACCTGGTTACACTCAACCACCAAGACACATCCCCTTGCAGTAGAGATTCCTAACCAGCTCTCCCGGGGTTTCCCATTACAGATGGGCTGGGCCTGCCCCAGACATCACACAACAGCTAGCAGGAGCCTCCCAGATTAGCCAGATCTTCCAGTGCCAGCCGTGGTGGCTTTGGGTGGCCCTAGCTCCCAGCACCCCTAGGACCAGGCATTGATGCTTTGGGGACCCCATTCAGGCTGATGAACCCCTCCTTTAGAGGAGTTGCCCCCTGCTTACCAAAGGCCTGCAGTTTGCCCGAGTGGAAGTCGTTGAGCAGGTTGAGCAGCCCACCCTCCATCTCATAAACGTCCGAGACGTCGGTCAGGAAGGAGTGCTGCAGAGGGGCCCCCAGAGCTGGGCCCCCACTGCCCCCAGGCTGAGGCAGACGAGATTTCTCCTTGTTCACCCTAGATAGAAAACACAAACCCACATGAACATTGGCTGGAGGCTTTCCATGCCGAGAGATGCAACCTCCTAACTTGTTAGCCTTGTCTTTCCTCCAAGGAGCTCCCGGTTCTTTGTAAGTACAGCAGCCTGCTACTCACAGCTAAAAGGGGCTATTGCTGTAGCTCCAGTCCTCAAAAACATCATTTCCGGAGCATGTTCCCAGCATTTGCAGTAAGCGATTGTACTGGAACGCTGCTTCACCTTCCCCCAAACGTGCCTGACCGGCATCGCCGAGCATTCGGGCACAACTCGAGCCCTGGGTAGCTCAAGCAGGAGTGGCCTGTGTGCTTTTGGTGCTCACGGTCTCAGGTTTAATACCTGGGGACATGCAGCATTTCTAACCCAGGCTCCCCATCATCGCAGCCTCCAGCACTGACCTTTTGAATTTGGCCCGTTGCTTTGGTGAGGGCAGGTGAGGCAGCCCCAGAGAGAAGGTGGTGCTTTTGCTGGTGGGGACGGGCAGCTTGCGCAGAGCGCTGGATGACACAGGCTGAGCTAAGCCAGGCTTCGGACTCCTCTTCTTCTTCTTGTCTTCCATCTTGAGAACTCGATCCCCGGGCAGGGGCCAGTCGCAGGCTCAGTAACACACTGCAGCAGGGAACCTCTGGGCACTGAAAGAAGGAGACACTGTTCACAAAGGAGACAAAGCTCCTCTTTCACCCCCTTTCTCCAGCTTCAGATATTCAAGTGCCAACAGAAGCTTCTCCCATGTGGATCACCTACAACAGGGGTAATCAATCAGCGGACCGCGGGCCCAAGCCGGACTGCCAGACGCTTTTGAACAGACCCCCAAAATCTTTTTAATTTATTTATCATCTTTTTTTATTATTTTATCTGGAATCTGGACCTTTCACTGTATCTAGACGGAGAAATTTGGACTGTGACCAAAAAAAAAAAAAGAAGGATTACCCCTGACCTGGGGGCTAAGAAAAAGAATGCTCGGTACTTCCCAGATTTCCCTCTGCCCCAGATCAGGAGATCTGCCTGAGGTATTTATCTGAGCACTTCACAATCTTGAGGGTATTTATCCTCACCACACTTGTCTGAGGCAGGGAAGTGTTATCCCCATTTAACAGATGGGGAACTGAGTCAGAGAGGGACTCATGCCAGGTCACACACGTAGTACGGCAGAGCAGGTTTTGAACCTGGTTCTTCTGACCCCCCAGGCTCACACTTTAACCACTGGGATTCTTTTCCTTTTCACCACAAAGCATTTTTCTGAAGGGTGGGAACAACACCTAGAGCCTCTCCAGAAACGGCCCCCTCAGCAAGGGGTGCCTGCAAACAGGAGCCAGGAGGAGGAGTTAGGAAAAATTACAGAATCAAATGACCGATAGAACAGGGTCCAGACAACCTGCTTTGCCCAGCCTCACTCCCAGTCCCTGCCTTTGGGTCTGGAACTGGGTGGGTCTGTGGCAGCAAGTTCCACTGAAGCTGCTCTTTTCATCCAGGAGGATACTCAAGTGCCTGCCAAATGAGGAGCCACACCATCTGCTGCTCAAATGTGGCCACCTCTGGGATAAGAGGGAGCTAGACACAGGGGTGCACGAAACTCCCTGTTCAGCATGTATTACATATCCCCCTTTATGCCCATTCCACTGTGACAGACCTCTGCTGCAGGTCCCAGCTAGGGGACTCAGGCCTGTAGTGGCTCATGCTCTTAGGTCCCCAGTTCTGTCCAAGCTGAAGGTCACTACTTTGGTTTTGCATCTCTTCCAGAAGAGGACAGCGCCCTGGTGGTATAGGGCCCCTAGCACCATGCTGAGGCACTGGGGTCAGTATTACTTTCATTCACAGGGACCTGTGTTACCACTGGAGGTCTCCTATCAGAGTACAGTGTGTGCCACAGAACACTGCCTATTCACTGCCCCAGGAAGCTGCAGTAACCGCAGTATCATTTTCAAACCAGTCACTATGTTGAGCATGGCCTGTTGCACTTACCCAGCCTGACCCTGCTTAACAAGATCAGATGAGATCACAGCCTGAGGGGATGTATTTGGTTCTCAAGGCAGGAGAAGAAATATTTAAATACCCACACATCCAAACAAGCACATACCCTGGGTCTCTCTCTCTCTCTCTCCCGCCCCCCTGGTGCCTTTCCCAATGTTTTACTTTCTCTTCTTTCTACATCTGTCCCCTCAAATATTAAAATGCACTCTATGTGTGAGTATATTTGTAAGTTTCAAGGCTCTCTTTGTATCTAACAAGATAGGGACGTGGGGGCAAGGAAATGAAGCAGCTATTCAATTTTTCTCCAAGCGCTGTATAAAAATGTTAGTGTTTAAGGAGAATCAAAATCCTGTTTTTTAAAGTGACATTCTCAAGCGAGCATTTAACTCTGATCAGTCGTAATCTCCACCAGCAGATGATATTTTCCTATTACAGATCCTCAGCTGGCCTAAAACAGCATAGCTCCATTGAGGTCAGGAGTTCGCCCATTTACACCAGCTGGGGACCCAGCCCATAGAGCTATATTGATTTACCCCAGCTGGGGATCTGGCCCATTACATTCAAACAGAAAAGGCCAGGCTGGAAAAACAGGCTGAAGCTCAGAGTAAGAGCCCAGGTCAAGAAGAGAGGGTCAACGACATTTTGGGGGGGTTTAAAGGCAAGAGGAATTAGATGAGGGTGTTGATGACACTTGCTCTGGGTTTATTTCTATTGAATTAATTACCTGCAGTGATTTTTGACCTGCACAAGCGAGTATTATTTATAAACAACATTTTATATTGAAATGAACAAATGAAAGGGACTGTTCAGTCATTTTGTCTGTTATTTGTTAAGAACTAGGCAAAAGGGGCCCTGGGGAGCAAACTGTGCACCTCCCCAGAGATGGGGCAGGGCAAGATTCACCCACCCCAATGTCCTCAAATCTGGGGGGTGGAGGGGAAATCCCATCAGGCAGGGAAAGATGATTTGGATCTCCAGCCTCAGCAGAGACTATCAGCCAGGGGCTAATTAGTTCCAACTGAAAGGGTTTTGTTTTGTTTTAAACATACACCTGATAGGAGGTCACCAAATGAAGACGGCTTTAATGTACTGCTGACATGGGATTTGAACCTGTGACCAGACCTGAAGGGCTCTATCCCATCACTCTAAGCTGTGCAGAACTCTCCTGCTATATTCTTTAGAGACTGTACATTTCAGTACAGGGCTTGTGTGTGTTTGTACAATGCCTCCTTTCACAATGGAGCCCAGATCCCAATCCAGGCCTCTAGACACTATTGCAGTCTAGGATTCCTTCTAGGACCCAATTTAGCATGGGAACACTTTGGCAGGTCGAACCAACAAGCCCAAACCCAGCCCTGTGGCGATATCTCAGCAGAACGGGGGTTCCTGCCGACTTTTATACCAGCCCCATTGATCAAGCTTGAATAACACACAGCAGGGCTCCCGCTAGTCTTCCTCCATACTCATTTCCCATTGTTCTGTACAATGGCACCTCCGTGAAGCGGTTAGCTGCTGGCTCTGATCAAAGCCCAGCCGTAGGCTGTGGAAACAGATCCCTCCCTCTTTGTTCAGTATGCAAATGGCTGTGGTTCATAAGTTACCCGGACAGCTATTTCAGAGTATCCCGTTTAGAAAAAGAAAACAATAGCCGCAGCATAGGCACTCCATTTAGCGCCGTCCATCCCCCAGACATTGGACAGGCAATTAGCAGATTTTCATTTCCACCCGAGCATTACAAGCCCGGGGAGCCAATGGCCAGAGACGAGAAATGCCACGGTGTGAGATCAAGATGACACCACCAGCCTCCCCTCCCAGTCCCATCCCTTCCCAGCAAATTGCAGGACTCCGGCACCCTGGTCTCTAACCTCCCTGCTCCCCCCCCCTTCCAAAACCCCACAGCAGAGGCGGCTGCAGAATAAAGCGGCACAAGCCCCGTGCACGGAACAGAACCCGCAGAGCAACAATGCAGCCGGGCAGCGTTCCAAAAGGGAACGTTCAGCCCGCCTCCGTTCCACCCCCCCTCCCGTGCCAAGCCAAGAGCCCGCAGAGGTGAAACTCACCTGAGAGGCACCCCCCGTGCTAAGGCTACAGCGACCTGACCCCGTTTTGCTCCCGGCGGCAGAGCGCCCTGCAAGACTCCGTGTCAACAGCAGCCGGGCCCACGCAACAATTTGCATTTAAAGGGGAAGGGGCCTTCCTCCAGCCTAGGCGGGGCTCTTCAGACGCGCAGTCCGATGTCCGGAGATCAGGTCACTCACACGAGGGACAGGTTTTGATTTCATTCCCGTGTAACTTCTCCCCTGCCCTGATTTCAGTGGGGGCAACTGCTGACTGCCACCCGTTTCATGAGAGCGGAGTTCAAGCCCGGGGTTTGCTTTCATGTCTTTGGGTTCCCCTGCCAGATTTCGTTGTCAGGGACATGGGTGCAACATAGAACAGCTCCAGTGGTGTGAAACTGGTGTGAGACAGGATCACTGTCTCTCTGTCACAGGCACGGGGCGCCGCCAGAGTGTCCGTTTACAGCTGCTGAAGATCTGGTTCAGCGCCTCTATCGCGGTGGTTCTCAAACTTTTGTCCTGGTGACCCCTTTCACACAGCAAGCCTCTGATTGCCACCCCCCTTAGACATTAAAAACACGTTTTTATATATTTAACACCATTATAAATGCTGGAGGCAAAGCAGGGGTTTGGGGTGGAGGCTGTCAGCTCGCGACCCCCCATGAAATAACCTCACGACCCTCTGAGGGGGTCCCAGACCCCAGTTTGAGAACCCCTGCTCTATCACACTCTCACCCTTTCCTTTCCTATATGGAATATATTCCTATTTTCCTTTTAGCAGAAATGTGTATTGAAACTGCTAGACCAGGGGTAGGCAACCTATGGCACGGGTGCTGAAGGTGGCACGCAAGCTGATTTTCAGTGGCACTCACACTGCCCGGGTCCTGGCCATCGGTCCGGGGGGGAGGGAGGGCTCTGCATTTTAATTTAATTTTATATGAAGCTTCTTAAACATTTTAAAAACCTTATTTACTTTACATACAACAATAGTTTAATTATATATTATAGACTTATAGAAAGAGACCTTCTAAAAACGTTAAAATGTATTACTGGCACGCGAAAGCTTAAATCAGAGTGAATAAATGAAGACTCGGCACACCACTTCTGAAAGGTTGCCGACCCCTGTGCTAGACTCATTAAAATGAGATGATGTTGCCAGCCCTCACAATTTTATCTCCAGTCTCACAACATAGGGTCTTTTTGTTCCTAAAGCCCCAGCTCATGGAGTCATGTGATTTCTTAAAAGAAAAGTAAGTTTCTAGCCCTCCTGGCTGCAGAGAAAAGCTTGAAAATGTGACCCCCTAAAAGCACAAAATTCGACATTTACTATTTAAAAAAAATGAAGCCATTCTCCTGATTTTTGGGGCCTGACTCATGATTTTTTTAACTCTTAAGGAATGTCTATATAGTATTTTGGAGTGAGCCTCCCAGCCTGGGGTTGAGAGACATGGGCCAGGGGGACTTGTGCTAGAACTCTAAAAATACCAGTGTTGACAGTGCTTTGAAGTTTCAGTTTGAGCTGGAGTTTAGACTTTGAAGCAGGTGGGGGGGGGGGGGGGGAAAGGGGGAAGACGGGTCATATGTCTGTTGACCCAGGCTGGGAGGCTTGGTCCAAAATACTGTGTAGACTTAAAGTTCACTGTGGCAAACAGGGCAATCTCCTGGATGAACCTTACTGAATTAAATTCAATACCTTTGGTGTTGATGTATTAAAATACAGTTGTTTACATGTCATTATGGGATTGTATGTAATTTTCCTAGGAGGCATGACTAATGTAAATCGTGGGAAATGGTAGGTACTTCAAATAACTTTTTGAAACAATATGAACTTTTAGAATTAAGTGGGTTTCTTGGGAAATCCCTAGGGGGCAGGAGTAGTATGCTAATATAATTCCTCCGATTAGTCAGTAACTCGGCTTATGGAAGTTTTGCCTCCAGGAGAGGACCCATTGTCTGGCTGATTACCTTTTCATGGTCTCTTTGAAGACCCCCATTGTGGATAAAGGACTCACTCACCAATCCATGATGGATCTTGTTCTGAGCAAAGGGTGTTAACAAAATTGAAACCACCAGCAAACCCCTGCCCTGTGTGGGGATTTGAAGGCCTGCTCACCAGCCAGAGCCCATGTTGGAGTAGAGGTGATCTCTGGGAAGCTTATTAGCACATGTGTAGGTTCTTTTATTGTTTTTAATATGTTTTGTCTGTATTGCTTTTATCTTGAGACTAAAACGTGCTTGCAACCGTTCAGCCTGGAAATACCCTGATCAGAAGGGAGAGAACCGTGGGTCTCCACCCAAGAGAGGCCACAGCTGGGGAGCTGGCAGCCTAGAGTGGGTGCCCTTGCTGGACCATAGAGGAGGAATGCAGGTGCAGGTGCCCTGAACTTATGTAGGATAATACTAAATTATATATTAAAATATATAGTATCCATGTTATACATTGTATTGATAAAATTATTCTAGAAAGCTATTAATGCTTTTACTACACATGTGCTGTAGCATTAATATAATCCCTTTATAAATATATCATGATTTTAAACAGACTTTTAATGTTGAAAAAATTATTGAAATATTAGCCATGCTAAAACTGATTCTGCCATTTCTCTTGAACCTTCCGTCCTCATGGATCTGGATCCCGCTGACATTGATGGCAAAAGCCTGCAGTACACTGTGTCATATAGGAATTGCCCGTGGGCCCTAGCAGGGTAGTGGGTCGGTGATATAGAGAGGGGAAATATTGTTCCTGGCAGGGCCCAGAATGGGCTAGTATGCAGCGGGACAGGGGCGTGGCACCTGTCTCAATCCGTCATCTTGTTCTCCACAATCTCAGCTTTCATACGTAAAATAAAATAATCATAAGTCTCTAACTGTTATGGTTGTGAATAAAATCTCAAAAACGCGAACCAAGCAGAACTACAGCAGAGAGAAATCTGCAGAGAGCCTGGAACAATGGCTCGGAGAGGTGTGAACTGCCTCATTCACCTAAGAGAGACTAGCGGGGTGAGGTAATCTTTTATTGGACCAATTTCTGTTGGTGAAAGTGACAGGCTTTCCAACTTAAAGTGCACTGTCCAGCTAGAGAACTGCATTTTATTTGGTAAGGAAATGTTAAAAGCTAGCTGTAAAGGAGGGCTCGGGCCCCGCTGGGTGAACGTAACCCTCAATCCCCCTCTCGGAACACCGCCTGCCAGAGCCTGCAGCAGCCCAGGGGACGCAGGAGGTTCACCACAGGTGCAATACTAGCCTTATGGATGCTGCTTCCCAACCTCCCAGTGCTGACAGGCTCCAGCAGCAGGCTCCATTTCCAGGACAGCTGGGGAGGTTGGGCAACATCTCCTGATAGATGCTTCCTGCCAAGCCCTTCCTCTTTCAAAAGGCACCACCCGCTTTTTGCCCTCCACTCCACAGCCCCTTCCAGCTGACCATTAACAGCCATGCCAGGACTGGTGCTTCAGAGGTACCATTTGGGGAGATCGCCAGGGGTAGCTGCAGTTCAGAGCAGGGTCCCCTAGGAGTGCTTAGTACAAGGGGTCACAGCAAGCTGAGGAAAAAGGCCCTCACAGGGGGCAGGCTGTTGGGATGGCATCAAGAGGAGTCGATTTCCCTCGGACGCCTTACGTTTAAAGCCGAGACTGGCAGTTTTCCGCACCCAAAGGCCTCCAGCTCCGTGGGCTGGTGCATTACTCAAGTCTTTGCCTAACAGCCCAGGGAGAAGCTGTGCTTCCATTGAGATCTCATCCCTTTACATCTCATTAATGAAAATCCCTGCTTCTAGCTCTCCTTGAGTGAGCGTAGGCACCCCTTACAGCCTGAAGGGACGCTCAAAGCCAATCCTGACATGGGTAGGTTGGTTCTTTGCCACCCCCAGCTTCACCAGGAGCAGTTGTGCTGCCCGGGGACAGGATACAGTGCAAGCCCAACTCACGACAGCCACAAGACCTGTGTAAAATTGGGCTCATCTGGAGTGACATCCCCACGAAGGCAAAATCAAAACTGCAGCTCAGTGCCGTTGAGGTTACATGGCATCAAGGAGAAGAGCATGGGGAGGAGGAACAGGGGACAAGACCCCGGGCCAGTGTTTGGCAAGCGATGAACAAAGGGCCAGGCCTGAGGTAAAGCAGCCGATTCCTTGAATGCTGTTTGAGGCTGGCAGGCTCAGGCCATGTCTACACTATATAGGCAAAGTACTTCTAGTGTGGATGCAGCTTAAAACCAGCAAAACTGCGCTTCTGCTGATATGGCTTATTCCAGCCGCCCTGAGCAAGATAAGCTAAAGTTCTGTTTTGGTGGGATAGCTGTATCTACACTAGCGGCTGTGGTTGGCACAGCTCAGTCGGTCAGCGATCATTGCTCTTCGCACCCCAGACTGACAAAACTCTGCGGGCAGGAGAAGTCTGTAGTGTAGACACAGCATCAGCATTCTTGGGTGGAAAGGGTACAATGTACTGCACCTTGCCCCCAGCTCTTGCTAAAATGCTGAACTGGCTCCCAGCTCATCAATGCTTCCTCCTAACAGAAAGGAGGGCCCTGGTATGGTGCAGCCCCACAGGCAGCAATATGGATCTAGTGACGCATCGGCATCAGAGCACTGACCCACCCCATGCCCAGCATTTCCTGCTCTCCCTGGTTACTTGCAAATATTTTATGCACACTCCATGGTGGATGCAGCCTGTAATTAGGACACAGGAAAAGAACATCCTTCTCTCTAGAAAGATACAGAAAACTTGGCTCACCGTGTAGGGGAAAGAAGTACAAACACACCAGCAAGTAGTTTATGTGCATTTCTATTGGATATGAAGATACATACAACAGATCCCAGACACAGGTTATCTGTACCATCGCAAAAAGAGTGTGGATTTCTAAACAGCAGGAGCTGAGGAAAGTCCGGATACAGGCTGCAGCCCTTCACCTTAACTAACCTTCCAAAAACGAGGCGTGGTCCCCTCAGGTCATAAATACATTCTCTTGCTCAGTAAGTCCCAGTTTGCATTGAGAGGCAGAGAGAGACTTCCCTGAGCTGACAGTAGTGATACTTCAAGCAAGGGGGCCAGAAGACAAAACCAAAGCCAAGCTCCATGGAGTACATTTCACTGACTTAAGGAGAGACCCAGGCTAATCAGCAGGCTAAGACCTCCTGCTCTGTGAAGACCAGAAAGATTCCAGCTTGTTAGGTCCTGTCTCCACTACAGACTTACTGCATTAACCGGAAAAGTCATAGTGTCAATACTGTTTGAACTCAAGTGGAGACAGGACGAGTGTACAGTAGCACCTTCTGCTGGCTGATCCCCAAAACAGCACTGTGGATGGTTTACAAGGCCCTGTGTAGCTGCCTAGAGAGAGCCTGTTAAGCAGTGTTTCCAGAAGAGAAACAGTGGGAAGAAAAATTAAAGTTCCCCACCAAACGGGTCCAGTCCAAGAAAGATAACAGAGC